GAGGCAAGTTTAGGCATAAGTTGCGACTTCATAGCCACATCTTAAAAATGGGAGGAAGTGGTTTATTTATGGAGGTTATGATTTTTATTTGAAATTTATGTGTAATAATCTGCAAAATGACCACGTATGGAATATTCTCCTTGCAAAATTGCTTAAAGTTAAGGCATTGCGCCAAATCCAACTCAAATTTCTTAAGGTACTGCTCAAATGCTTCAACATCACCAAAACATTATGATATTGTTATCTCTGGTGGAGGAATGATCGGTAGCACCTTGGCGTGCACTTTGGGTATGTTATAAAATCGCTATTGTGCTTGATAATGCGTATTTGATTTTAGGCAAAAATTCAAAACTCGGCACTCAACGAATATTGTTACTTGAAAGCGGCAAACCTACACAGTGGACAGTAACGGATAAATTCAGTAATCGTGTTTCAGCCCTTAATCAAAATACGTACAACTTGTTAAACAATATTGGAGCTTGGAAACATATTTCTTCTGTACGAAGTGCACCGGTTCATAATATGCAGGTAGAGAATTCCTACTTAATCTACTTTTTAAATATAAATTAAGCCATGAATGTTTTACATTTATGTTTTTAGATATGGGATGCCATTTCCGATACAGTGATTACCTTTAATCAGGAAACATCTTCGCAAGTAGTTGCACACATTGTTGAAAATGGTCTTCTATTAGACGCAGTTGCAAAAGAATTATCACAAGTGTCAAATGTGGAAGTACGGAATGAAGTGAAAATTAAAAAATATACATTTCCCCAAGGCAATTCACAAATGGTCACTATAGAATTGGCAAATGGTGAAATTTTAACCAGCAATCTGTTGGTAAGTGATTTATAGCTATTATGAAGAACCATACTCATACCGAAGTGTATTCTGATGTGCAATAAGTCATAATTAACTAGTCCATACATATAATGCTTGCCAGGAGAGAATGCCGGTCACAAAATACCTGATCCAGATCTACAAATCCTATGTGTTTCATATTAAACCATACGATTGGAGACTGGCAACAAACATTCTGTGACCGGCATTCTCTCCTGGCAAGCCTAATAATGAGCTCAGAAAAATGAAAGATTAGTGTACTCTGTAGGTCATAAGAGAGAAAGTATTTGATTAACGCATTACTGAGTAAATCAGTAAAAGCCTGCTTGAAATGAAGCAATAAAAATAAATTGTGTGTGCAGTTCAAAGCCAGCTGATCAATGAAACTTTTGCAATTTTATAGGACTGGGGAAGGTATTTGACCGGAGCTTTTTTTTGCATGAACTGCTCAATTCTATGTATAATTCTAGTCATCAACCAGATAAAATATTGCAAAGTTGAATTTTGTACAGATAATAGATACAGTCGTTTATTTCACACACAAGGAAATTTGACAGTGAAGTTTTCAGCAAGTGATAGTTGATTTCGTTTTGTGTGATTCAGTCCCAATACACCTTGCAATACACCTAACATGCCTACAGAATTTACATGTAATTGAAATGTTTTAGTCTTATTTATTAAGACAATGGTTCGCTTTGATTAAAAACCTTGTTGGCATAGTAAATAATGTGTGTGATGTCGACTTGCAGAATTCCCTCGAGAATACCTATAGTAGGTACTGTAACAACCCTGGGTGCAGTTGAGAAGCGAGCGCGCAAATAAAGATCAAAACTCCCGCCCAAACTAACTGAAACCCATGCCACATGATCGTCGAGTAAAAAATCTGTCTAGTGGTAGGAACTACATTGTGTGTGTGTTGCTCTAAGGACCGATTAAACAATCATAAATAAAACGCATGGGGAAGAGTGAAATTTAATTAAATTCATTAAAAACACTCAAAATTCGTGTATAAACAAGGGTTGTCCTCTCACTACCACGAGAGTAGCTCTAGGGTCTTCATTGATTGTACGGAAGGAAAGAGATACTGAAAACCTTCCAGGCTAGGTATGTACTCACCTTATTTCTATATTCGGGGAGTCATGAAAAATAATATCATTTAGTAACCGGTAACAAAAATTGTAATTAATTGAAATGAGGGCAGTCACCTTTCGGCGAATTGTTAAAATTGTAAAACTGTAGAATGTGAAAACAATTTTTTTTAAATATACATATTTCAAAAACCAACAATTTTTCAGGGATTTCATAACACCATTTTCTTAGAACTTTGATTGCGAAACTTTTCTCTCATTTAAATAAATTTGTATCTCTTACCTCTTATAGAATGCCTATAGTTACCCGCCTTATCTCGTACACAGTGTATAATAAACAAGTAAAAAGGTTTTCGCCCTAAGGCGAACAAGTTTAGCGCATTTTCCCTGCATTGATCAATACTTCGCAAAAGGTCATAGCTATGTGCGGTATGGTTTTTTTTACTAGAAGCATCTATGGGTAAATTTTCAAAGAAATGCCTCCATAAATAAGGAAGTTGGCATTGCGCAACCTGGCCAGCCTGCGCATGCGCATATAATCACCAAGACTTTCACTTATGTGCCAGAGTTATAAGCTGCCGAAAGTGGCCATAATAGTGCCTTAGACATTGATTGCAAAGTTTATATTTTTTTAGTAGATACAACCCATTGTTTTATTAAGATTGTTGGAATAGAATATTGTTTTTCAAATAAATTTAGTTTTTTTTTAATCTAAATGTAACTTTATGTTTTTGTTTTTCATTGTCTATGCCTGCTTGATTAAAGTTTTACCACAATTACAATCATAGGTAGACCTTAGACCGATGGAAATAAAAAATTTTGAAATTTTAGTTTGCTATAGCCATAGCCTAGATCTCGTATCGACTTCAGATTTACGCTAAGTACTTATATGAAAGGTTATGAGTTGCAGATGTGGAACTGTTCATTTAGAACAGATTAAAATTATTACAAAAATTAAGGAAATTATCTTAAGAATAACAAAGAAATGCAAATATGCCATAGGTCGCGCAAATCTAATTAGGGTTGTTTAATGCTAATGCTCATCCTAGCAAATTTACCAAAGTAAATTCGGTCAGGGATTGTCTCAATTAACTCAACCCGGTACGTTACCGACAGTTTGAAGAGTGTTACCTGATAAGGTTTATTGTAAGTGTTTACATGCTATTTATTTCACAGTATTACTTCCTTAACCTACGTCAATTACGTTAGTATGAAGGAAAAGCTGATGCCTCGATCTTGCCTAGCTTGTTTGATTATCTTGCGTTTTGCTTCCTAGTAGTCTACATATTTTCGTATTAGTTTGCATTTCTTTGTTAAATTCTTGAGAATACATAATATTTACTTAATTTTGATGGTAATTTTAATCTGTTCGAAATGAACATCTTGAGGCGCGTACAGACATGCAACAGAACATCGTAACGTAACTCCGCTCTGCAACATTTTTGGTTGCAGGACGAAGTTACGGTGTGATTGGATTGCGAGGTGCAACAGAACACCGCTCTGTAACATTGGCGCGAAACATATTACCGTCCCATCAGTTTCTTAATTTTCTTGTTAGAATGGACGTTGTTGCTGCAGCTTGTATTGTAATTTTGACCTCTTGCGCAATTTCTACCCATGTGTCGTTTTTTTAAAATCTCATTATAATAAAAGCGGTGTTTAGTATCCCACAAAATCTCTTTTTTTCTGTACACTTCAATAAAGTTTAGCACAGCATTCTCCGTCCACTCCATGTTCAACTGCAGTACGCCCTAAAGCGAATTGACAATTTAAATAGGAAACGTTCGCAAAGTGGTACAAACATGCATATACCACGTGCAACATGAACGCGTAACAGCTCTTTAATGCGACGATGAAATACCGACAACGGATGGGACGCCGAAATGTTACGATGTTATACAGTTACGCTGTTGCAAAGTTGCGTCCAAATTTGTTACGCACCGGTGTTACGTTACGATGTTTTGTTGCATGTCTGTACGCGCCTTTAGACCGCCAGCAGGAAAGCAGGTTGTTTTTAAAATAAAAAAAATAGTTTGTAATACATCATACATTGATGTATGCATCAGGAAAAAGATTTCAAAACAATTGACGTTAATATATACAGGGTTTTGCATTTAAAAAATACCAACTTTGGATCAAATCTCAGAAACAGTGATCCAAAGATTTTTTTACTACGCCACTGGATTCTACGTAACCGATCAAATCTCATTTGCTCTCTATGGACGTTTAGGTGCGTGTGACCCAGGCTGGGTAGGGAAGGTATTTGTTTGAATCTTTTCTTTCCAGGTATGTGGGTCGATTGCGCGGCGCGTGCATTGTTGTCCATCGCTGTCCCATTGATTGGACATTAAAGTGGTTGCTCCTTGGCGTGCCTCCTTTTGGGATGTTGTCTCTGTCGGACTCGCCAGAGCGGCCGTTGACAGGGGGAAGTGTCATGTCCTGGCTCTTGTGGCAGAGGCATGATCTACGAGTGCGAGCAAAATATTTTTGTCCAAAAGATGTCAAAATCGTTATTCATGCATCAATTTTTCTTGAGAAAAAGGGCAAACCTGTTTGCTCGATGCCCAAGAAGTGATCCGTGTATATTTTTAGTGACCAACTTATTATCAGTGTGCTCGCGCACTAAATTTCCCGGGAAACATCAGACTACATAAAGAGCGATTCAAAAAATTTAGCGTCGTAGTTGGCGGTGATAAGGTGTGAATAGTATGTTTACAGTTAAACTTCCATTGCCAACTATGACGCTGAATTTTTTGAGTCGCTCGGTATTTTTGGCAAAAAAGTCAAAATCGTTATTTATTCACCGATTTTAGTGGGAAAAAGATTTCGTATCGACTTTCGCCATATGAAAACTTATGGGTTCCAGATGTGTAACTATCAAAAATTAACTTTGGCATCCATCACAGGCCTGCCGTCTGCTACGATTGACAACCAAATGTTGTTCCTAGTCTCTGAATTCCCAAATGTAGTTTAAAATTTTTAGTGTAAGCACAAGGACTTTAATGTTACAGAGGACATTTGAACATCTTGTTTTTTATATTGCATCATAAGGTGAATAAATAAAACTGAGAATAAAACATAAAAAAGTATATTGCGACACATTCAAATTGAATACACTAACTTGTACAAAATTTATTGTGTTAGTTTTACCTCTCTTCTGTGTTTGTTGGTTTGCTAAGTTGTTCGATCTTATCCAAAAATACTTTACCCCATTCTTGAAATTCCTTTCGAAGCAACTCCAACTGTAACTGTTCGGTTGACGACAACCCGCTTAAATTGGAATTTAATCTTGATACGGGTGGAGGAAACTGCATATCATACAGATGCCGGTGGCATCTTTTACGATTGCTAATACGTGATCGTATCTTTAATTTCTCCTTTTGCTCTACAACCAATTGATAGATATTCTTGATTAAATATTTCGGAATACGTTCTTCTCTGGGATCATTTGGTCGTACATATAAAGCGCAGTGATGCTGTGATCTTAGTAGGAGGGCCTGGTTGTAAAACCATTTAAGAAGCCTTTTTGGGGCACATTTAAATAGTCGAGAGAATAACATACTCTCTAAATGTGCAACAAGCTGGGCTTGGCGTACTAAGCGATCTAATCCGGCACTCTGGAATAAACCTTGAATATCATTTACTGCCAAACCCACCAACAAATTGCTTAAAATGAGAGTAACTAGGAGGACAAATGCGAAAAACATTATATGAGTAGTGATCGGATATAGAAGTTTGTAGTCAGGATCGTAGAACATATCCTCAAATTCCAACTCACCAGACATCATTATGACTGTCTTTAGCGCACTCCATTCGATCATTTGAAGCGATTTGTAATTCGGGAACAGCACACCAAAAGATAAGGCGAACGCAATGAGCAAGCAGGAGTAGGTTAAAAGAAATTTCGAAAAGTTTATGGATACTGTTGTGAACATTTGTACATACAGCCCGAAGATAGGAAATCGGCCCACTATCATCATCAACTCAACCCAAGTAAGAAAAATTCCCACCGCCGCCACGTGATGCTGCCAAGTATGCACGTTGAGCCTAATATCTGTATGCTTATTTGGAAAGACACACAGGAAAACGCTTATTATAATCAACCACTGCAGCCAATTTTCCCAATTCTTGACATATCCCGACCAGTTGTGCGCGATTTGGAAAATCTCTTTAGCCATAAATAAAAAATTAAACCAGATAAGAATGAAGCCTACAACAGTTATGTACATTGGAATTTTACAGTTGCTCTCTCCGGCCATTCTCTTCGAAGGGCAGTTTTTTAGAAAAACGCCCAAAATGTACCCTGTATAAAGCGTAACGAAAAGTGTGTGGTAAAACAAACTAAAGAAAAAGAACTTCCGAATTCTTTTCCATTTTAAATGCAAAAAGGTTTCACACAGTGGATGGTTTAGGACTTCCCGATGGCCGACTTCAATAAAATTGAGCAGCAATTCTGTTTCGCCTTTATTTGGCGATGGCACGAGTACTCTAAAATCTAATTTCAGTTCGCAATCAACGTCTCCGAGTTCGTGATCGGTTAGTTTTATGGCCGAACCAAATTTGGTTATATATTTTGGAATTACGTCCGGAGTTCGTCGTGTTATGAAGGTAAGAACTGATATTCCTCCGTTTGTTCTCGCTGTGACGTCTCCTCCGTGGTTTATTAGCATCATTACAAATTGCGAATATTCGTTGAGCGCGGCTAAATGCAGTGGAGTGTAACCGAACGCGTCAGACGCGTTCACGTTTGCGCCAGCGTTCAGTAAGAACCGTATGCATTCACATCGTGATGCTTTTGCAATTGCCCCATGTAAAGGAGTTCTCCCGTTGATGTCTGTTACGTTTGGGTTTGCTCCGCGACTGAGTAATAACTGCAATGTTTCGGTCGACTGAGACAGCGTTGCTAAATGAAGGGGAGTTTGCAATTTCTTATTAACCGCCATGATGTGCGCTCCTGCGTCTAGTAAGAGACGGGCAGATTCCACGTTATCGTCTTCGGCTACTAAGTGAAGCGCTGTTGTTTTTTCTAATCCACATTGAACCGTTACTGCCGCTCCATGTTTTATGAGTAGCTTTATTATTTCCGTCGATCCTAAAGCAGCGGCAACATGCAGCGGAGCTTCAGTGTAGACCTGCAATTTTGTTGTTAGCGTCAGTAGTCTGAGTGCTGAGGCTACCTGGGGAGTGTTCGGAATCGCACCTGCCTCCAAAAGTTCTTTAACGCAATCTGCCGCAAGACTTTGGACTGCGTAATGCAGTGGGCTTTTATTTGTAATTCCTGCATTCACATCTGCTCCCCTTCGTATAAGAAGCTTTGTGCATGCTAGATAGCCTCGACTAGCAGTGCAGTGGATTGGGGTAGCTTTGTGACCAGAGTCCCACGCGATAACAGGTGCTCCAGCATCCAAAAGTATTCTGATACATTCGTAATTACCAGAACAAGCCGCCAAGTGTAAAGGCGTCCTAGTGAAATGACTTTTATATTTGTTCATTCGAATTGTCGCCTACCTTCCACCGCAGTCTGCGACATGCACCGTAGCTCCCTGCGCGATTAATACTTTAAGTGCTGCTGCTTGTCCTAACCATGACGCAATCAGTATACCGGTCTTCTTCCCACTCTTGTAGAGAGTTAACTGATCTAATTGCTGATTGTTTATTAACTCTAGGATAATGTTTGCATCGTCTAATAACTAAGAATTACTATGGAGAATGGTTAATTGTAATTTCGGCATACATACCATAAGTGCGTTCCACACAGTACTTGTTTCCCAGATTTCCTGTGCCGGTCGTACACGAATCCTCTGTTCACTATCTGATCCAGAACCTACTTCTTCTTCCCCCGATATACTATCGCTGTCCGTGTCTATAGCTTCATCGTAAAATAAGACAGGTTCGTGATTGCCTATTCGCACACTTTTCGCCGAGGAACGATTATTCATATTTACAGACATTCTGTAAAAAAAAAGGATCTGTTATTAAACACACTTTTGAAAATTTATGATTCATCAGTAAGTTTGGTTCTTTGTACCAAGCGAAAATGGTTAGAACTTGGTAAAATACCGTTATAAACAAATTCAACAGGGGCCCCACATAAAACAAAAAAAAACCCGACCCATCGCACAAGCTGATAACAAAAATCTTACTATAATTTTGAAGTCATCTTCTGCGAATTGTGAAAATATAAAAACCATATGAAACGTTCTATGACACTCTAACTACGTAAATACCCTGTATATTTCTATGAGCAATGGCAAACGGTCACTAAACCACAATCCTTTTTGTAATTCCGTAGACTAAATCAACCTGTTTTGTTTTTTATTTAAGGGATTCAAGTGTCACTTACGGGACGAGGAACAAAATATGGCAGTACATCTCATAGCTTGTTCCGCAGAATTTTAAATGATCATTTCTACGCCGTAGTTTTAGAAGGAGAATCTTTAAATTAACCTGACATTTATTGTTATATGGTCACAATTTGACATAACAATCTACAATCAAACAAATTTCTCCTTTCAAATTTAAGACTTACACCCGACTACAAAAATAGCGTATATAGTGTGTCCAAGATAAAGATGTCGTATCATGTGGATCTCCGAAACCAAAGGGCACAGGAGATACGACGAAATTAGAGAAAACATGCGCCATTAAAGGGTTATTATCTGGCTTTAAACAAAACCAGAAAATTCCGATTACTTCCGAAGATATACCACAAAAACCAGAATTTGCCGATTTAATTTTTATTTTTTTCTGATCTTATTTGAACAGATACAAAAAAATGAAAAAAAAACATTTTGTCATTGCCATTTTTGGAGCTATACAAGACACCGTTGTGAGATTTTTAATACGTTTCGTTTCGATAAAATCATCATCAAGTTTATTTTTTATATGGGCTGTAAAAAAGTGCATACTGTATTGAGTAGCATTATTTATTAGTTTATTACAAATATAACGATGTACGGCACAAAAAAACAGAAATTGGAAACTCTGTTGGTTTCAACAGGATGGCGTACCCGCACACAACGCTCTACAATTACAAAGAAAAATTTAAAAAAAATTACCTAGTTTCTTAACAAAGTCTTAACTTGTCAAAGTTTAGGGTAAAATCTGTTACATAAATAAATACTGTTCAAGTACTTTCAAAATAACCCACGTTTACACTAAATTTTCTTTGAAATCCTCTCTCACGCAATAGGATTCTCGGTACTATGATTTTTTTTCATTAAAAGTGCCGTTGTTTGAAAAATATGATTCAACTGTTGAGATAATAAATTCTCAAAAGTCTTCCTTCGCTTAACAACTAATAAGGCGTTGTTCATGGTCTCCAAGATGTAAATGTTGGACTTTTTTAAGTTTAAACGCTCTGTATTTATTCCTATTTAAAATTTTATGTACTCTTGCCCTTGAATGTGCTTCAAAATTACATTAATTATTGTTGTTCTCGATTTTCCAATAAATGCAGTTGTATTAGCACGCAATCTGACTAATCTTCAAAAATATCTATGTGATATACCTCTCTTTCAGAATATTTCTCCTGATACATTCTAATCGCGACGAAGGTATTTTTTCCTGCTAAAATGTGCACTTCGTAAAATTATGCATTTTCTATTAAATTGAGCTTATTCAGTTATCAGTATTCAATTATTCTCACAACAATAGTTAGTCAATAATTGCAACTGACAGTTGTAAACAACATATAGTGCTATTGTTTTCGTCACAGCGCTCTAAAATCTGAATCCATATAACATAATTATTAAACTTCATTCTTGTCACTTATTTTAGGTATAATGAAATAAATCTAAAATTTCTCATATAAATTGTTATCTAAGGATATGCAAATATTATATCACTGAATTCAGAATAAAATTTGCTATTCAATAAGGAAATAAAAAATATACATAGTTCCATTTAAAATAACAAAGTTGCTATCCACTGGTTGAAAAAATGTTTTTCGTGCTCATTAAAATAGTTTTGTAAAATAGAAATTGTTTGCTAATTTAACCGATCTCTTATCTCTTATAGTTCTCGAGATAGCGATAGTGGATCACATAAAATGAACACCCTGTATACATAGTCATTAAAAAAATGTATTCGTTTTTTTTCTACTTGGAAATTAAGAACTCAAATGATTATCAACTGAACCATCATATCCTTTAGATTTTTGAAGAAGGGGAGCACCCCACTTAAGGTACCATGAAATGTTTTTATAGCTGCAAATTCTAGGGTACATTTGGTATCGTTAAAAAAATGCAATTTTTATCTTTTATGATGATTGTATTTATGATTAATTAAATAAAACTTAGTTTGAATTTATGGATTTTAGTCTAGATAATACCTAAGTAATAGACACATACGAAAAGTATGTCACACCGTACTGTGAATTTAACTGTAGTGTATCCACCTACCACTTTTAGTATTCAATACTTTATCACTAAAATTAACCAAATCGTGTTAGCGCCTATCATTTTGTTGGTTTTCCTATGATTCTACTATATGTGATTATTTTGACGCCAAATGAACGTATTCGTCATTTACCTACTCATCCAAACGGATATGGACAGTTAGTGGTAAATTTTTCCTTAAATTTATCACTAAAATTTTATTCTAAAATTAGGCTTAACATTTAAAATAGCTTTTTAAATCTGTAGAATATTCAATCAAGCATTATTAGATAAAGACAGTGTAAATGTCTAGATTAAAAATAGACTATATTTATGTATTAAATCTTACCTATTGCCACACTACCAAAAATTAGCCACAAAACTAGAACGCATACCACTTAGTAAGAATAATTTAGAATTAAGCATTTGTTTTATGTTCCCATAAACGTCGGCCTATAAAAAAAAATCGCCCACATTTTTCCAGAAAATCTGATGTATTTACAAAATCTGCAATTGAACTTTATTTTCGTAGTTTACATGAAGGTAAATATACTTTTACTGAGCGTAACGTCCACTTTGTATGTTATTAGAGTATAAACTGCAGTGCAAACAATTGCTTTTATTATGAATTTTTGGTAACTTGGAAGAGGTCCAAGTGGAATGAATATTCACTATTATAGGACGTTTACGACTGAGTGAAATTAATTAAATGTTGAGTTTTTGAAAATATGTATAACCCCTTGAATTGTGCAAACGTAATATGTACTCAGTTGATAAAACATACCCGCTTTTACTTCACTGCCAGCGCACTCATCTGTAATGATTGGAAACCGTTTTCATTGTGGTTTCACGTTGATTTCATTTTGTAGGGATTACCTACTACTTTACTTAAACAGGATTCTATTTATAAGTCGATTGAAAAATATACACAATTGTTTAATTTATAGCTACGTCATTTCTCTTAGTAAAAACTCCCAGATGCACCTTTTATTTTAAGCTAAAATGTATATGTAGTCGTTTCCTGTATTAATTCTTTATTTTTCCTCAGTTAGGATGCGATGGATTCAATTCTCAAGTGCGACAATCTATGGGAGTTACTTTTGTGTCCTGGAAGTACGACCAGAAGGCAACGGTTGCAACTTTAAAATTTTCAGAAGTAAGTAACTATAAATAATATTCGAACGATTAAATCTTGGGTGATTTGGTAGGTTAGGTGTAGTAAAGTAAATGATTTGTGAAATTAAACGTATGTAGCTATCGTACTTTGAATAATTGCATTTCTGTTTTATTATTGGTTACACATAATTAACTTATATAGTGAAGGATTGAACTGCACTGTACTGATTGTGGTCATTGACTTGAACTAAAATGGGCACTTCCTGATTTACACAACATTAAGGGTAGAGAAAAATCGACTTTATCGTTTGCAGGAACCAGTAACGCTGGCATCGAAAAATATCCAAAAAGGCGAAAAAAATAATAGGGTAATATGCAATTTATTGCAGTTTTTAAGGGGATGGATGTGATCAAAGTACACTGGGTGTTCATGTATTTATGATGACCAGTATACTTTCTTTCAAACTTTGAAGGCGCCTGGGAAAGTGTAAGGCCCTACTAAATGATCTGGCTTATTGATTTTTTCGTTCTTTAAATATTAAATTTCAAGCTATTAAAATTTCGAAATTAACATTTTTTGCAAAAAAAATTCGTATCTTTAAAAATATAAGGCTTGATCTAGCCCCGCTATTACTCAGCCAGGTCGGAAATTCTGTGTTTGGGTATTATTGGAGAAGTATTAAATTTTCACCTACAGGGTGGCTCGCTCTCATCGTCGGCATTATTTCAACCTAGAGAAACGAGACCCCCTGCAGTTTACACAATACTGTAGCAATGCGATGACTATTACAGTGTTTGAATACCCATAAGGACTTTCATGCATACAATATCAGGAACAGTGAGAACTTGTGTAGTGCCTTTTTGAGGCTATGCACTTCAAAATATGGACTTCATTATTGGGCTGCAAGGGCAAAAGCATATACAGAATCTGAAGACAAACTTATTTAAAAAACGTATTAAAGAAACTCTGATAAGTATGATCCTTTGTACATATTCCGTTGATGAATATTTTCAAATTAAATTTTTATAAATTGTTTATTTAGTTTCCATTGTTATTTGACTTGTGTAAATATTTTGCGATCAACCAAACTAATAAAGTATTAAAAAAATACTGGCCATCATGGCATAGCAGATTGGATACCTACTATAGTGCAAGAGAGTCGCTGATTAAAATCTGTGTTTTCGAGGAATTTTTTAGAGTTTTGATCTCTTGCAATAGATAGCTTATACTTTGAAGATGTGCCAGACCGCCTTCAAATTTTTTGTCTTAAGGGTTTTCCCTCCTGTAAATTATTTCCTCAAATACTGTTTTAGAAAGTAAAATGTGTATGATAAGGGAAAAATGCAACGTCTCGACGAGACATACCTGAGTATGTCAACAATCAAGAGGAAGAAGGTACGTCTAGGCACAGTTTTGCGGTTATGAACAATTTTGCGGAGAAGATCTTCCATGTTTCAAATAGCCTATAGTTTGAATGTATTTCAAGTGGTCTTTAAATCTTTGTGTCTAAAGGTAGCCTACTACCCCTCACACCAATTGTTTATTGCAATAGATGTTACCACGTACTAATTTTTATCAAGCTTTGTGTAAGTTTGCCTCTAGTAGTACCTCGTAATACTACCTATTTTGTGTTAAAAAAGTGCAAAGAGTTATACACAATTTATACTCGTTATGAAAAATTACCGTTATTTTTGTAAACCTTTCTAGAGAAACTGCCAGATTTAAATAAAAGCTGAAGTTACATAAATTACATAATACCAAAAAGTACGTTATATACTCTACTATAGCTATTAGGCTGTTTCACGCAAACCGTTACCTAAAAGTATTCAGACTCTCATTGATAATTTAAATTTGAAAATTTGCATGCCACGATAATTTTTCATGATCTATCGAAGGAAAATATTATCATGATCATTTCACTTCCTGTTTTACCGGATGTGGATAGCAACGTTTTTATTTTATTGCATTTTCGAAATCTACATGAAAATCTACGACGTTTGATACCACGTTTCTTTATACCCAGCATCAAAGGTTTTCAAGTTAGTCAATATTTTTCAAAATTCTTGACGTTTCACTGCTTTTCTTTAGCACCCTGTACCTATGGCTCTATTGACTTGAATTTCAAAAAGTATTTCTAATGCTCTTTATTGATATACCTATTATGTACATATAAATCTTAAGTTTACATTTAATGTTGTTTTAGCCTGTAAAGAACGTAACAGCATGGCAACGATTTTTACCAACTGGACCTATTGCACTTTTACCAGTAAGAAGCACTCTTTCCCCACTTAGGCAAAATTAAGTTTTGTTTTTAAGTTATCTGAGTGCTACGGTTCGCTGGTATGGTGTACAGCACCAGACGTGGCTGACTACAATTCAAAATTAAGTGAGGAACAGTTCGTAAATGAAGTTAATGAAGCATTGGTAAGTTAATCAAATTTAGGTTATCTTTTAATTCAGGTGATGTTTATTAGTGGAAAGTTTATCCCAGCAATTCTATAATTCAAGAATCTACAAAGACTTTAAACAAATTTTTGGAATGGTTTCATTTGCCATCATCCAATCGGCAGCAACTTCCTCCTAAAATTGTTGAGGTTGAGGAAGGAAGCATTGCTTCATTTCCTCTCGGATTTGGACATGCGACACATTATGTGGGTCACGGTGTTGCTCTTGTTGGGTATGTTTGTTATGAAATTACAGTTTCACTTTCATAATTATTGTACCCTTAAGATGTTATAGGTTTTACAATTCGGTCAACTAAAAATTATACACAGTTACCTATGATGAGATAAAGGAAGTAAAATTGTAAAATGTATTTTTTAGAGATGCGGCCCACCGCGTGCACCCATTAGCAGGACAAGGAGTAAATTTGGGATTTGGCGATGTGTCAACGTTAAATGAATTATTGGGTGAAGCTGCATATTCAGGAAGAGAAATAGGTACATGTTTTTTGTGATTTGCCAGTATGTAATTAGGTATATCCACTTAAAATGTATCACAGCTGTTAGGTCACGTAACCACCCCCGGCCAATAGTAGTTGGAGAGCTGATGACACAATTTAGAGAAGGTGTTTTCCCCACTCTGGAATAGTAAAAACAACACTGATTATGGACGGACTGCCGGCGAATTAACTGTGAGTACTGGGCGTAATTGTCTTCGTGACGGCCGTGTTGTGCAGAGAATGGTGCCACAATCTCGCGGAGATAGCCGTAGCTTTTGGAGCTTGATCGACCGGTATGGCGTCACCTTATTTACAGCGACATCGCCGGCGGCGTCCACGCTCTGGCCCAGTGGTTCTCAAACTTACTTTTATGACGCCCCCTTTCATAAAACTAAAATTAATCACGCCCCGCCCCCCCTCAATATCCTGATTAAGAAATAAAAATCTACAACTAACTACAAACGTATTTATTAAAAAAAATTACAGGGTGAGGAAAAATGTCATTTTCGAGAATAAGATGGCGTCCATTTATTTTGAAAGATATCAACAAATAATTTTAATAAAAAAGCTTTGTAAATTTTTCTTAACTTTCTGACGGTACTAAAAAAGTTGTTATGGCCTGTAAAATCTTATGTTTTCCAACCAAGTCGCATTTCGCATCCATAACAACATGGCTTTTGAGGTCGTTCTTAGTTCATTCGAGATAGCTTCTTTTATACCACATTAGCAACAGCGCTGGGCTACAAAACCGGAGGTCGGGTGTTCGAAACTGAGTTGAGGTGCATTTTTCATCTGTGACAGAGTTGGGAATATCCTTAGATCAGTTTCGACCATTCTGCCAGCTACTCTGAATTAGGTTTTCCTGCAGTTTTCCTAATTCATAAGGTAAATACGGGAGTAGTATAGAACAACTTAAGACGTTCTGCAGGGGCATCTCTGCAATTGGGCGTAAGCCTGTTGAGGGTCTAGAACTAGAGGGACAATAAATAAATAAATAAATAAAGGCGAATTGTTGTAGAGATATCTTCTTAATGGTGTAAGAATTTGTCAAATACAATTGTACATAAAAAAATACATAATATAAATATTTTAAAGGTAAATATTTGCCTCAAACACATCAGGGATCTCGCGCCCCCCCTTAACAACGCCTTGCGCCCCCCAGTTTGAGAAACACTGCCAGAGTCTAGCCCGTATCCGATAATAAAAATATTGTGTCCAGATGACCTTCCAAAGGAAGAGAAAGTCCATCTCATCGAGAAGTATACACTTATTTCTAACCGTGAACGCTTGGCTCCGCCAGTAGTGAACCCAGAAATAGCAGTAGTTATGTCTGCACCTTACTTAAACAGGAACAAGTCTTGTTCCGATCATCAGTATCAATTAAGTAGAAGCATTGATAATTGTGTACGTATAATCAATGGTATGTAGATATATTTAACATAGATATAAATACAAAAAGTTTTACTATATCCATTGTAAATTGCCACAATATACAGGCTGTTCCATTAAAAAAATTAATGCCAAGATCATACCTCTTACTTGAGGACGCCTTGTATATAAAATTCTTAATTTCAAAAAACCTGTAAGTTAAAACACTAATCTACGTGTGAGGAT